ATGTATGTGTTTCTTTTACTCTTAACCTTTCTTTAGAGGAATGAGGAATGTGAATATCAAAAGCATTCATTATGTTTGACCAAGCATGTGTAATCTTGATATGCAGTCCTTATCCTAACTATTTTTCTTCTCTCTTCCGTGTAGCCCTTGTTTCTTCAGCGAGGTTTGCATTATAAGATTGAGGCCAAACATAAAAGGAGGTAAAGTTTTTACTTTTTTTTTTATCTCCTGTTCAGAACCAGTTTTACTTATATTTGAACGTACTTTTCTAAGCTGTTGAGGCTTTACCCACCGGTGGATAGTAATCAATATTTCACTGTGGTGCAGAATACAATTGACTGTGTTCCTCTCGGGCACTATAGACTCTGGGGTCCAAACTCAAAAACTGTTCCCTCTGTATATTTTGTTGGCAAGATTAGTTTCCCCTAAGCCTGTAGCCGAGGTAGGTGTTTGAACCTCAGACAGATTTGGATCGATCTTTATAATAAATCGTTTCACTGCTAACATTTTCTTTTGAAATTCTCAAATGATAGTATTCTGCAGTATATAGGTTTAGTCGAGCATGTATCCTAAGTGGTGTCCCGGGGGTTGATGGAGTTAGTCAAGCCCAAGCCAACTTTCTTCTCCCTGATATGAACAGACTCGCTTTGGAGGCAAAATCAGGATCACTCACTATCTTATTTATCAGCTTTGGTGATTAAAATCGACTGTTGTACAAATTTATTTGAAACCATTCGTGTATGTACAGTATCCAGATAAACTGATCAAATTGTTTTCTTTCTTGTAGCTGGTGCCACAAATTCTCAATTTGGCATTGATTCAGGCAAGATACATTCAGGTATTTCCATTTCTTATTGATAGAAAGTTTTTAATTTTAAGAATTGGTGTATCTATTTGGACATATAGTGTGGAAATGTAGCAACCTCGGTCCTGTTTAATAACAAAATGAATCAGGGATGCTTTGACTCTAGTTATAAAATTTCTTGAAAGTCTCTTTCTTCTTTGACTGTAACATCATGAGAGTTTTTTTTCTTTCTTTCTGGCAGGAAATATTGGAGGACATTGCCTGTGGAGCAAAATACCTCTGCAATCGCTCTATGCGTCATGGCAGAAATCTCCAAACATGGACTTGGGACAGAGGGTAGACTCAGTCTCTCTTGTTGAAATGCAGCCTTGCTTCATAAAGGTAATATTCCTAGATCGTTGAGACTCTTTTAGTAGGGTCTGCTCTTCCCTTTTCAACGACTCTTTGTTACCTATAGTGAAACGAGGACTCTGGATTTTATTTTTTTCATGTAATTTGAAAAAGTATATTGGAAGCAATTGCTAGTGTGAATTTATTTTCACTGTTAGTTTACAGTCCTGACCATTTACATGAAAATATGACTTGTCCATTTCTGCAGCTAAAGTCTATGAGTGAGGAAAAGTGTGTCTCGATTCAGGTTCCCAGCAATCCCCTCACCTCGGTAATTTTTCACACTTTACTATACTTTTGTCCGTTATTCCGAAAATGTTATGTAATAGTACCTTACAATTCTTATAATTTTTGTTTGAAGAGCTCACCGCAGCAAGTACAAGTCACCATATCTGCAGAAGAGGTTGGGGCAACGGAAAAAACTCCTTATAGTTCATTTGCATATAATGACATCTCTTCCTCTTCATTGTTGCAAATTATCAGGTAACTTAAGTTTATTCTACAATCCCATTCCTGCGCTTTCAGATTTCTTACCTTATCTCATTATGATTTTTATAAATTTTATAAACTCTATTGACCTCCCTTAATATATAGTTGTCAGTTTTCTTGAATCGTGGCTGTTGGTGTTACCTATAACTTATAATGCGTATCTATTCACGTTGACTCTAAATTACTGCCACATTCGTTGCATAGGTTGAGAACACGGAATGTAGTTTTCAATTACAGATACTACAACAACAAATTGCAGAGGACTGAAGGTAATTTTGTAAAATCTCTAACCTGTTACATACCCATATATATATATATCTTCTGTTTACCTAACCTGTCTCATACCATAAGATATAGTATATGTATTATCTTTCGCTTACATTTTGAATACTTTTGCTTTGGGTCTTGCAGTAACTGAAGACTTTTCTTGTCCATTCTGCTTAGTCAAATGTGCCAGTTTCAAGGTGGACTTTCATTTTCCTTCTCGTTCATACCTCTCAGTCAAAGAGACAGCTGTAGTGACTGGTCGTTGTAGTGATGCAATCTTTTTTTGTTCCCAATCATGTTGTAGGGCCTGAGTTATCACTTGCCATCAACCCATGATCTCTTCAATTTCGAGTTTTGGGTTAGTAACTTCAAGCAGTTTGCTGTTGCTCATTATTTTCTTACGGTTGCCACTAATCTGCTCGACTTGGTATTTAGGTATCTGAAGAATATCAGGCTGTAAATGTCTCTCTCAAGACCGAGACAATGATGTCCGAGGTTAGAGCATCTTGTTTGTTCTATTTAGCTCTCATTAGATTCTCTGCTGTAGATATTTTAAGCTGTGACAATTTCAGTTTCCGAACTATTATCCTCAGTGAGTTGTTGACTTTTGAGAGCTTATATAGGAGAAGTGGAATGTTTTGTTGTTATTTGCCACACTATGTGTCTGCTATTATCCTCAATTACATGAAGAGAATAAAATCACAATGACATCGCTGCAACCATCAGAGCTGGATTGTAGAATAAAGTTTGAATTATATAGGAGTGTCAAACCTTTTTGAAGTTATTGGTGCTATAATATATTCGAAGTCTTCGTAGTTTTTTCAGATTTGATGTTTACTCTTAGCAATGGTTTTCTCAGATTAATAAGGACGACGTTGACCCAAAGAAGCAAACGTTCTTTTTCTCGTAAGTTATCTGGACTACTATGTTGCCTTTACTTATCTTACTAGCATTTGGCTGTCAGTCTTCCAGACATTAAAAATTCTACAATATATGACAGTTCAAAGAAATTCAGACGTAGGAGGCAAAAGAGTCAGGTACGGAGCACAAGGCAGGGGCATCATCTTGGATTAGGTTGCGAGGTGCTAGATAAGACTGATGGTATGTGTTTGATTGAAACTAATAGTATTGGCTTCTTTTGCGATGAGAACCTGTCTATTTTTGTTATTTACTTTCTTATGTGCATTCTACAACGTTGGATCATTTGATTTCCAGATGCCGATTCTGTTAGAGGTGAGAAGAGCCGTGTACCACCTGGAAAGCATTACGAAAGAAATGGGGGTGCTGAATCGTCTGGTCAAAGAGTTCCTCCGGGCACGAGTCCTGCAGACGTGCAATCATGTGGTGATCCAGATAACGTGCAGTCGGCAGCTGGAAGTACGATGTTGCAATTTGCAAAAACGAGGAAGCTATCTATCGAGCGGTCAGATTTGAGAAAGTATGTTTTTGACATTCTTTTGTCGTCCTATCCACCTCTTCTTCGGTTTTCATTCAACTCCATATGGTTCATGCTTTAGTAGCTTGCCCATTCCAAATTATGTGGCTGACTTTTTCGATTTGTTGTCTCCTCCAGCCGTAGCCTCCTTCAAAAGAGACAGTTCTTCCACTCGCATCGAGCTCAGGTGATTTATCTCTTCTTTACCTTTTCTTGCTTATGGAGATTGCAATTGATTTTGATTTTACTATGTGTACTATCGCAGCCCATGGCTCTAGAACAAGTACTTTCTGACCGAGATAGTGAAGATGAAGTTGATGATGATGTAGCAGATTTTGAAGATAGGAGGGTATGTTTTAGACTTTAATATTCTCACTTCTTTATCTTACTTTCATTTAACTTGGAGTTGCGATGCCCATGCACAGCCTTCCATATTCCTTTACCGAACCAAATTGATTTTCTTTACGTTTTTTTCAAAAAAAAAAAAGTTTCTGTGTTTGTTGTTGGTTGTAACATTTCTTTTTACCATTTCGAAACATCTTTCTTTCAGATGCTAGATGATTTCGTTGATGTCACTAAGGATGAGAAGCAGATGATGCACATGTGGAACTCGTTTGTGAGAAAACAGCGGTATGTCTATCTCTTCTCAGTACATGTGATTTCGATTTTTTACAATATACAAATTTGGAGACGCATCGCATGTGTTTGTGGATAAATTTTGCACGACTTCTTTTGGTTCCAAAAAAAGTGAACAATTAGATAACATCCGGTTCCATGTTCTCTGAGCATTACCTTGGCACTGATCCTTTAAAATATATGCAGAGTATTAGCAGATGGTCACATTCCATGGGCATGTGAGGCGTTCTCAAGATTACATGGACCCATCATGGTTCGAACACCGCAGTTGCTTTGGTAATTGAACTCTCTCATTGCCTCCATAGTTTTGTTTAAGTGTTTCAGAGAAGAAAGTGGTTTTGTTGACAAAGGTGAGTACTTTGTGCAGGTGCTGGAGAGTGTTTATGGTGAAACTGTGGAACCATGGCCTTCTTGACGCCCGAACCATGAACAACTGTAATATATTTCTCCAACAGCTCCAAAAGTGAAGACCCAGAAACCATTATTTAAGTAAACATTTAAAAAGAAATGAGAGAAGAGGAAGTGTTTTTGGGTCTAAATTTTTAACTTATGTTGTTTAAAGAGAAATAGGTGCATATTTATGCATGAATTGTCCTCTCTTTATATAAATGTGTACATTGGCTCATTCATCTTTGACTTTGTAGCTCAAAATAATTAGTGCTGATACATGCTCCTTATTCATTTAGGATTTATTTCTATTGGTTGATGTTGGAAAATGCTTTTTCTTAGCATCCAGAATTTGAGATGATCTCTAAAACATGATGAAACTCTATTTCTTATTTTCGCCGAAACAAGTGTTTTTGAAACATAGCATTCTCTGTCAACAGTATATGTATATATTTGCTGACAAGTTTACAAGCAGAGGCAAACCAACTATAAAAAACACTTTGATTTGCTCTGGCGAGTAAGTCAATACGATTTCATAAAATGTGTCATTTTGTGTCAAATAAAGCTCCCTTGTCTTCACACTTGAGCTCTTCAGGGGATATAATACATTGGATTCGCAAGTTTGAAAGATCGTTGAGACATGGACGAACCCAACAAATCACTCCATTGATCACCTGAGTTTCCTCTAATCCTATATCCCTCTTTCACCATCTCATCCCTCTTCTCAGATTTGTATGCCGTCGCCATTTTGTGCTGTTCATCCAGAGATCTGCATATACAAAGCACAAAGCAAGAAAAGTCTTAAGATATACACAAAAGATCACAATGTGGCCAAAAACTAATGCAAAGCATGATGCTATCTATAGTCTTCTTCACCAGCATTCAAAGCAAGAAATGTCTAAGAGACTATGCACAAAAGATTACAATGTGGCCAAACACTAATGCAAAGCATGATGTTATACTCTTCTTCACCATTATATAAATCAAGAAAGTTCTAAGAGACTATACACAAAAGATTACAATGTGGCCATAACTAATGCAAATCATGCTGCTATAGTCTTCTCGGGTATGATTGATTGACCAGCATCAAACACTTGGAAACCAAAGAGCTACATTTGTTTCTATGACGAAGTATGGTTTTGTTTATACCTGAGAATAAGCTTGTCCCAATTCTGGAAACCAGCATTGATGAGGTTTTCAACAGTGACAAGCCTGTGGCTCTCTTTCCTCCCCGTAAGCAAGATGACTTTGTATCCCAAATCCACCACTCTTTGGTAAAGCTTCAAGCTTGGTGTTATCGCTGGTGCTACTCCTCTCTCTACCCACTTATCGAACTCTGAGTGATCAAAAAGCTCAAGCCTACGAAAATCCCCAAATTTGTTATAACGAATTGTTCATTGTTCTCTAGTGAGCTTTTTTAGCCAAAAGGAATAAGATTTTTGAGATTGAGAAATTGTACCCAAAGCCATGGTCGATGTAATAGGGGAGGTTCGACAAGAGAGTCTCATCGATATCGAAAATCCAAATATCTTTGCCATCGCCGGAGAATTCGACGCTGCTCGCGAAGATTGAAGCCTCTTCAGAGACTCTCTCCAGATCGGTGGTGTAACCTTTACCGATGACGTAATCCTTGACGTATTCGGCGCACTCCGCCGGAATCGTCTGCCACGGGGAGAGATTATTAGTCTCCGCCGCGAATCTCCAGCTCGTGCAATGCAAATTGACTTGTTCGTCATCGGATTTCTTGTGCCGGGTGGTCTCGATTTCTGACGGGTACTCGATGATCAACGGCCTCGGCAACAGGTACGAGCCGGGAGTTTCGTCGGAAAACGCGGACGAAAACAAGGTAACCACAAGGAGAATCGCATAAATCCTCATCGGAGAAATCGCCGGAAATCGAATCAATCGAAATTTGTGGTTTTCTGAAAATCAATTGCGAATCTAATGAAATTTTCGACAAGTCAAACAAATTGAGGAATCTATATCAATAAGAGGGTTTATTGAAGAGGGAAAACGAAACAAACGGCGAAAAGGAATCAGTACAAAGAGAAGGGAAGAGAAAAGGATAGTTTTCAAATTGGATAAATGGAATATCTTGTGGAAGAAGAAAACCTTGAGTTTTAATTTCTATGGAGAAAATAATCAGAATGGGTCATGTCTCTTTAAAGAGTCAGACAGTAAATTGCAAAAGGCAGGGAGTGGCCGGTGACGTGTATGAAAAGTCATTATATAAAATAATATTATGATTATCCACAATTAAATGAAGGGAGAATCTGTTCGTTTCGGGTACGGATCTTGGATAAAATCCAACTGGGCGGATCCGAATATTCCTAGATGTACCTTTGGGTCGACTATGGTCATTTGATGTCGTTCTTTTCAATTTCAAGTGACGCAATGTCTAATTAATAATTACAAAACCACAAGGGCTTGATTCTTATTCGACAATAAGAGTTTGTTATGTGATTGGAGTTTTATCCTTCTTTAATTAATCGACTTTCAAGATCAATGTTGGTTTAGTGACTAATACTGTAGTATTATATAAAATGTAACTATTGTGGTATGTGAATTTGTATAAAGAAAATAAAATGAAATGATACTGATCTGTAAATTGCATTTTATTCATTAAAATCGTATTTATGAAATAAACTTATGATGTTTTACGTATAGGAAATTACGGATGATAAGCTTATTGACAGGTTCTATTAGAATTGGATAAGCTTATTGTAGTCTAATGAAAACGGATACTTGCACCGTTGCACGCACGCTAAGGTCCGTGTGAATACAGTGTCAAAGGGAATTGATTATCAACGAATTGTAATTTATACAACCAATAAATAACGTGTTTATAACGCTAATTAATTAACTATACATGTTTTGATCTGTTTAATTTAGGTTTATGTTAACTTCTCTGAAAAGACAAAATATATTCGAGACACATTCAATCAACCAATTTAATTTATACAACAACAAAAATAACGTGTTCATAAGGCTAATTAATTAATACATATGTTTTTATCTGGATGCGAGAATCCCAGTGGTACATCCTAGGATGACAGTTAGTGATTTCATTAACAGAGATACAAAAGAGTGGAATCTGAGGATGCTAGAAGAATACATGAACCCAGAAGAGATTCCGCTAATCCAAGGCATGGCCATTAACAAGACTTTCCACATGGACAGTTATAGTTGGAGCTACACTAAAACCGGTCTATACACGGTAAAGTCCAGATATTGGGTCGCAAGAAACCTTCTCAACCCAATTGAGGAGTCATATTTGGAGCCAAGTATCCGACCTCTACAAGCTCATGCTTGGAGGATGAAAGCCGCATAAAAAATCAGACATCTAGTATGGCAAATTCTCTCGGGTTATCTACCTGTTACAAAAAACCTTACCCATCGAGGGATGAGGTGTGACAACATTTGCTCTAGATGTGGAGTCCCAGAAAAAACTATAAACCATGCTATCTTTGAATGTCCACCAGCTCTACAAACATGGGCCCTTGCCACTACTGCCATGCCGCCAAGCTTATTTCCATCTCCGGGTATTTATACGAACATGGACTACCTCTTTTGGAGAAGATCTGACAATGGGGATGAAGAAGAAGACAAAGACCCTTTTCCATGGATCATTTGGTTTATTTGGAAGGCACAGAACGAGAAACTCTTCCAAGGCATATCCCGTGACCCCTTAGGGACGGTTTGGCATGCAGAAGCATAATGCAAAGTCTGGCATGAAGCAAATAACAAGGTTTCCCAACCTTTTTTTGACACAGAACCAAGCCATAAGCTTGCGGGACATATGTTTGGTGGATGGATCATGGCATCAAGACAATACATACAGTGGATGTGGATGGATATGGATAACATCGGAAGGGACCCAACGAATGCTCGGTCTTCATAACCAGCCACGACGTCTTTCTCCTCTTCACATGGAAGTGGAAGCGCTTTTATGGGCCATGCAATGTGTTCTCCAACATACCACATCTCAATCGTTTGGAACCGACTGCCAGGATGTGATCAAGATGATTGAGAAGCCGCACGAATGGCCAAAATATTCTACTGAGCTTCTAGAGTTTAAGCGTTTGAGGAGCTCCTTCTCGTCCTTCTCTATTGCCTATGTGCCTCGGGCTCTTGTTAGTAAAGCCGATCACTTGGCCAAACTTGCTAGGTCTTTTGTTAGGCCTCTTTCCTTTGTTGGTTTTTCTATTCTGGGGTGGGTAACCACACCAATTCTAGTTTGAGTAATGGAAGAACCTTATGTCGCCTATTCCCTCACCAACTAAATTGGTTCCATCGAGATTTACACAGACTTTTCAGCCCTCTCCAATTCCACCCAAACTTTTAATCTCTGTCGATTCCCCCATTTGCGTTTTTATTAGCAAAATGCAGTTTTCGCAACATTGATTGCCCGTTTAAACGCAATTGACCCGAGTTTTTACAACGTAAACCCGAGGTTTGTTTAAAAAACCAAGACCCGATTCTCTTTTCTCCTAACCCGATACCACACTACACATACACCGAAAATTAAAATCGATTTGAGGAAATCAAAAGGGGATTAGGGTTCTTCGATTCTTGGTAGATTCGATTCCGTCGAGAGGAGAATTGGACATCTTTTATTCCGAAAGAGACAGGAAGGTAAGCTAACTATAATTCTGAATTGGTTTCTTTGTCGAATTCTTTGGTGATTTCATTTTTTGCTTCATGTAGTCATCATTGTTGCTGGTTTCTTTTTCGAATAGGGAACATGACAATGAGTAGTTCATCTTCAGCTTCATTTCATTTGACCAACAGAAGATCAGTGAATGGTGTTCCATTAAGATGTTGGTGTGGTAGGAACCTTGTGACTTATGCGGCTCAGACCAAAGACAATCCTTTCCGTCGATTCTACAGATGTGAAGTTGCATTACAGGTACAAACCAATCAAAAACAATCAATAGAATTTACACATATATGAAAGAGTTATCTTATTGTATGTAAATTGTGTGTGTAGAGGAAAATGGAAGAGCATCTTTTCAAGTGGATTGATGAAGCTTTGCTCGATGAGACTAGAATGGTGGAGAGAAAGCATTTGAGTCTTGTTGAAGAGGTAAAGGAATTCAGAGGAAAAATGGTGGAGAAACTGGAGCTAGAAGAGAGGATGATCCTTAAGATGGTTGAAGAAAGAATGAAAGAAGAGCTAGAAGAGGTGAAAGCAAAAGTTGAAGCAAAAATTAAAGAAGAAATGATGATGGCTGCTGAAACATTGCAGAAGATGGCTCGAGAGATGGCAAAAACGAGCATGCAAAAGGTTGGGATTACATTGTTGGTTGTAGGAGCAATAGGAAGGATTTGTGGTAAGCTTATGGGTTAGATTTGTGGTAAGCTTAATGTGTGTTTGTTTCATTTTGTTGGATTGTTGATGGATCGAAGTGTATTGGTGTGAAACCTTATTATCTTTGGAAATTTGCATCTTTGAAAATGTATTGTCCTACTTTTGACCTTTCTAAGTTGTTTGATCAGTAAATGTGTTCACCAAAACATGAACGTAAATCCAATATCTCTCCATCTCAACTGTAATGCCTTGAAAATAGCATTTATAATCCAAAAAGAACAACAAAAGAACATCCATAATCCCAAAGAAAGACAAGAATGAACATTCATAATCCGAGAAAGAACAACAAAACAGGAATCACAAGAACGAATCACAACAAAAGAAGAACAATCCGCATAAGGAGGAATCCGAATTCCAAGTTTTACTCTGACATTTGAGAGGGTTGAGTGAGTGACATGGTTTCAGGACCTTGATATATAACTAAAGCCTCATTCCTTGAGATGAAGTATTGGCCTGGAAACCAAAACATGCACATAAACTCAGAGATAAGCAAAGTCATAAACCATAGCAAAACTCATAGACAATCAAAATCAGAATCAATCAAACTCTCAAACTCATTAACTCAGAGACAAGCGAAAATACCTGGTCACTTGCTTCTTCTGTCATCTTTTGCTTCTTCCTTGGGTGTATCTTACATCCAACTGCATTGTGTCCAGCTTCACCACACTTTGAGCAATGGATAATTCGACAAGTCCTTTTGGTTTTCTGAACCTGTCTTTTTTTCTTTTTTGGTGACTCAAACTTTCCTTTGATTCTTTTTTTTAATCTTCTTCTCTTTTTTTTTTTTTTTTTTTTTTTTTTTTTTTTTCAGATCCCTCTGGCGGATCTTGTTCTGGAGGAGCTACCACCAGCCTATGAGAACCAGCCATTGATGTGGAGTCAGGTTTTACCAAACTCCTAGACCTCTGCAAGTGCACAGATCGCGGAAGTATGGGTATCGAACACAAGGACTGGCTATTGAGTACACTTTGAAACTATGGATTTTGGATCAAGCTAAAACAAAAGTATGATTGAGGTTGTAATGGTGAACCGAACTAGCAAGTATAACGAGGTTGTAAACAATAAAGGAAAAGCGCTAGGTCATAGGGGCTATCGCAGAGAAGCAAGCAATGATCAATGAAACAATGATAGATGAATTGATTAGGGATATTGGGATATTAAGAACCATCTAGAACACAGATCACGAATATAAAACCATTCCACTTTCGAGGCTCCGGCTCCTTTGTTAATCTACCTAGTCGCTAAACTTTTGGTATGTCCCTAGGTGATTAAATCAAGCATTAGAATGAATAGGTTCTGATACAGTTCACTAGATATAGTAGATCAACTTTCGCAGTCTAAGAAACCTAGCTTGTCAAAGAATATGTCCGGCGAATGATACAGCACTGTCGAGGCTCAAATCAACCTAAGATCGGATTACTAGATGCGCGGTAAAGCAATCAGCATTAGTTAAGTGCACAAGACGAGACAAAGACTCTAATATAATCCCTAGCTAATCATTGAAATCAAAGATCATGCAAGCAACTCATTGAATAGTAACCCTAGCAACCTAACTAGTGGATTACTCAGACATGATCAAAGCAAACACACATAGAGATGAAGAAAACATGATTGCAATAAAACTTAGAGTAGGAAATCGAAATACAAGGGCGGCTCTCTTTTCACAAGAGGCTAAAAAGCTATATATATAGTGCTAGGTCTTTTGAGGCGGCTTAGGGTTAAGCCGGGCTTGAAAATATGAAATTTGGGCTTCAAAACGGGCTTCGGGTCGACCGCGGCGTTGGGACGGTCGGTCGGGACGATCGGCCGGACATCGGGTCGTGGGCCGAGTCGGAACGGTCGTGGCCGGATGGATTCGGTCGGCCGGCTGGTCGGCGGATGAGATTTGGCCGATGATTCTCGGCCGGACGTGGGACGTTCTTCCCGGCTCGGACGGATGCATCGGCCGTGGTACGCGAAGGGTTGCGCGGCCGCGAGGCTTGTTCCCGGCTCGCGCGGCTGGTCGTGCGCGGCGTGGCGTGACGTTGTGCTTGGCCGACCGCGGGACATGTTTCCCGGGTCGTGATTGTGATCGGCCGAGAATGGACTTTGGCCGAGCGTGAACATGTTTCTCGGCCAGCCGGACTGCGCGGTTGGGCGCTGATTCTCGATAGAGCCGTCTGGACAGTCTTCACTCTTTTGGTTGTAACTCCTTTTCTACTCATCCAAATTAGGCCGTTCCAGTTGCGTTGGAAAGTTAACTCAATCAGAGCACGCAGGGAACTGGTCTTGATGAAATCCATTGAGTAGATCTTTTTCTGGGCCCTCTTAAAGTTGGTGCTTGTGCATGGAGCGGCTTGAAGTGCAAATCCTATGGTTTTGCTCCAAAATGCATCATTTCACCTGTTTAGACTCTAGACACTATAAACACAGTAAAACTACCTTTTTAGATAGAAAACCTGCCAAAAACCATTAGAAAACAATGCTAAAACAGTATAAAAAGTGGGTAAATTAGAGGTATATCAACTCCCCCAGACTTAGATCTTTGCTTGTCCTCAAGCAAAAAGAATCTAAATCCGTGAAAGAGGTTTGAAAACGTGGAAACTCCCTTGCTCTTTTGAATATCCTGTGAAAGGTTCCTTTCCTGTATTCCACTATGAACATAGACAACATAAGGTTAGCTTCACATACACCCTGCAAGTTTAGCGAACAATACCAACCCAACTAGTCTCATCCAGCAATCCAAACTCTCTATTGCTAACCTCTTGCATAAATTTAAAGCGTGAATTCTTTATCAAGGGGACATCGATCAATTGAACTTGTTCTTACCCACTTGATCTCTCCAAGATTGTCTTTAAGTGCAATGAGTTCTTTTCCTCTCTCTTTCTCACATCAGAACTTTGAAAGGTCAATTTCTCCCTACTTTTCTAGGGTATCATTTTATTTTTTCTATTGACCCTTCTTTCAACCACAGGATAAGTCTTTAGCTTGTTCCTTGTTTGACTAAGGTATTCCATAAGACATGAAGGTACAGACATATGCATTCCTCATGCTTACTTGTTGTCCTTGTGCTCTTTGAGCTTTTTCTCATAAACATTACTTACCATTTGGGATGGGAGAGAGAGGAGAACTCTTTAAAGATTAGACAAATCTTATTGAAAATCAAGCAAGGAACTGTCGACATGTATGCCAACCCCCTTGACAAGAGTATTAAGATTGATTAAGGTGAGGTTAACTCTAGATTGCTTGGTTACCTTAGAAATTTTGCTGAGCTAGCATGTCGATCCACTGTAAGAGCTTCTGTTAGGCTTGTGCCTTTAGCTGGTTTCTGCTCTAGGGTCATGGATTGTTAGCATAACACTCTCAATTCTCAAAGCAAGTTCATAACTTCCGGACTGGTTTTTGACTCAATAAAACTTTTTGAAAAACATGAAACAAAGTGAATAAAACATAAGAAAAGAAAGAAAAATGCATTAGTAACACAATAAAACTCCCCCCAGACTTAACTTGCACCGTCCCGGTGAAAGCAAATCACATTAAGGTGAGAGGTAATATTCAAAGTAAAAGAAAAATAAAGAAAATTCATTAAAATGAGATAGGGATAGAAAATGGAGATTTGTAAGTGTCCATTGCACTAAGTACCACTTGAGATGACTATGTGTGGCAGTGAGAAGAACTCTCTTCCTCATCTATGGGGTCATCGCCTTCTGAACCAAGCTCTGAGTCTAGTGAGAACTCACCAAGGTCAGGCTCATATGGCTCTCTAGCGGTGGAAGAAGGGCGAAAGAGTCTCTCCGGTGCAATGTGGCGAACTACACGAACTAGGCGTGAGATGAAGCGAGATTGGCACTCCACTATCTTCTCCAGCTTGTTAACACGGTCTAGAGCTTGGTGCGCGGCCATGCCAGTAGTGAGAACATGGCGTTCTTGGTGGCGGCGTTGAGTCTTGACTGCATGCTGAAGTGTGCGATAGGTGAGCATGGGGAATGATGGTTTCTCACTTGATGGAACATAGAAGTCTTCCTCATTGGGCTGGAAAGTGACAACACCTGAGCGTAGGCTTGGGATGTCTTCATGTGGCAGCAAGACAAGGGAAGTGTTGGCTGGACCAATTGGAAACTCATAGCAAAACCGAGTTGGGTCTTTAGTCCAACGGTTTAGGAAGTGGATGTGCTGAAGAGCATGGAGATCCAAAGGGGTTGGCTTGGGTAGTGGCTCATAGTTGGGAATGTCAATCCCCACATGTTGTACTATGGCCGTGATAAGCCTCCCAAAACGAACACAAAGCTTCTTGTTGCCTTCCAAGTCTTGAGCTAGCTTCCTCACATTGATGAATGTCTTGGCAAGTAAAAGGCCAAGGTTGGCCTTGTACTCATGCTTGATGAATGGTGTGGTGAGGATGTAGAACTCATCAGTTGTGACCTTGTTGGCTTCTTGTTTGCATTGGAAAGTGGTGGAGATGAGGCGGTGCACATAGCGAATGGCTGGATGAGTGATTCTAGACACCTTTGATCTTGAAGGCAAGAATGGTTCATTGGCAAAGTGTGTCCAATCAGCAAAGGCAGCTTGTTTCCTCTTTGAGTTCTCCTTGAAGTCATGTGCTGTCTCATTGGGAAGTCCAAAGAGTTGGCATAGAGCTGAGATGGAGATGCGCCCATTGGCATCGCCTATCTTGAAGAGTAGGAGTCCATCACCAGCTGGTTGGTCTCCATTGTGGTTGGGAAAGGCAAGAGCTACTGTGGAGAGGAACTCCTTGGTGAGTTGTGAGTACTCACTACATCTAGCTTGAAGAGCTTGCTCAAGCCTAGCTTCCTTATGTACCATGTGACATCATCTCTTATCTTGAGAAGGTCAAGGGTTTGGGTGTCCATCTTCACACAAGGTTCGATGTTCACCTTCTCCATTGCCTTCTTACACTTTCTTGGGTCTTGGATTTGTTCTCCAACAAAGGTTACAAGTGCCCAATCATCTTCTCCTCTTGGGACTCTCCACATGTTCTTGACTTGCATCAATGGAATGTGGTGAAGTTGGTATTGCTGCTCTTGCATTGGAGCTACTACTCCCTAGCTTGATTTGTTTCTTTGGTGGTTCCATGAATGGGTTCTTCTTCTTCTTCATACTCTCATTTCCTTTTGTCTTTGCCATTGGGTACCTACAAGAGCAAATTCTTGGGAAGAAATATGAGTTTGTGATTAATGCAAAAGAAGAATAAGCTAATTGAGTTGTAATAATGATATGGAATAATGGAACAACTCAAGGCTTAATCATGAATCAAAGAGACAAAATGAAATTTCACTTTTTCAAAGTTAATTTTCGGATTTTACTGTTCATCCCAAGATTATGGTGCTTAAAATCAAAATTTTCAGCAAATCAAGAGAAATTGAGTTTCTAATCCAAGTAATCACTAGATAAACTAATGAATTGAAGTATGCCTAAGCAATTTCACCTTTGAATAAGGGGTTTGGAATGCCCAATAAGTTTTGTGAAAAACTATTCAATTGTGAAATTAAACTTCAAATAACTCTAAACCACCTAGGTTCCACCTAGCAAGTTCATTACAAGACTAATAAGGATGCTAATTTCAAGTTTAGACAAGAGTTTAGACCAAACATGAAACTTATTGAAATTTCGATCTTGCATAAACATAGGATTAGAGTTAGAAGACATACCTTGTGTGTTGAAAAGTGAATAAGGTTGCAAGAGCAAGTAAATTCCAATTTAGAGTTATGAACAGTAAAAGTTTTGAAATCAAAACTCTTAGAGTTCCTCTAATGGAGTTTAGGGTTTTGGAGAAGAAAGAGAGGTTCTTGTTGTTTTCAAGGGAAAGGTAAAGTAAATAAGATCTAAATCCTATCAATTTTCCTTTTCAAATTCGAATTTTGATTGAAAACCGGTTTAAGTTGGTTTAGATTGGTTAAAACCGGTTTGAATTAAATGAAAAGGGGACTTACCTTGGCCGAGAAAAGTTTTGGGCCGATGGCCGATGGATTTTGTCGCGGTCGAGCGATTTGGTCGGCCAAATTCGTGGCGAGAGATTTCGGCCGAGGCCGATCGTTTGTTTCCCGGATCGACCGGCACGGTCGGTCCGTTCCGATACGAAAATTCGGCCGATCGCGGCCTGTTCTTCCCGGTTCGTGCGTGCCGCGCGAACGGTTTCTGTCGCGCGATAGAAATCCGGCCGAGCACGCCGTTCCTTCCCGGCTCGACCGTACGGTCGGCCCGATTGGAATTGCTCGGCCAAAATTCACTTTTGCGCGTCCGCGGCCAATGTTTGGCGCGGATTGTGTTTTCACACCTTTTTCTCCTTCTATCCTATCTTAAAACAAAGAAAACACAAAAGCAAAACAAAAACTAAGAAATTTAAAGAAAGAAAAGTAAAAGTACCTCATGGGTTGCCTCCCATGCAGCGCTTGTTTTAAGTCTTTAGCTTGACTGTAAGGCTTGGCGCTCAGGAGAAGATGGAGACAAGAGGCATCTTGATCCTCCAAGTCTTTTCTCCTTGCAATGAGTATCTGGTGGGTGATTCACAGCTGGATAGACAATCTCTCCATGAATGTCCCTTGGCACTACTGCCTTAGGAAAAAGCTTTAGAGTTCTTGTCACTTTCTCCTTGAATCCTTCTAGATTCTCATCAATAAGCTCCTTTGGGAATAGAAGCTTCATGTTGCGGCCAGACCTAGGCTTTTCTAACCTTCTTCTTGGCTTGGCCTCATCTTCAATCTTGGTTGATCCCTTGGGCGGTTTTGGTGTAGGGGCCTTAGTCTTACTCCTTGCTTGTTTGGCAAGCTGCTTGGGCTTAGGAATGGGATCTTCCTTGATTGTTTCTTCAGTTTCTCCTTCTTGGGGTGGCTTCAAAGTAACTTTCTCCTCTTGGACCATGTCAACAAAAGAGTTCTTTGTTGAACACATAGGGAAGAACATACCCTTGTTCACCTTGTTGAAAGAGATTCTTTGATTGGGGAAATCAAATATGGCACCCACAGTAGACAGGAAAGGGGTTCCAAATATGAGAGGTCTATGGCTACTCTCTCTCATTTCCACAATCTGGAAATCAGTAGGGATAGAGCAATTTCCAATCTGCACCATCACATTAGGCACAAAGCCATAGGG